GAAAGATGCACACACACACGCGCGCGTGCACACACACACGCGCACACACACATATATATTAATGCATGTTTCATTAAATAATATAGACAAGTTTTGTCTATTTATTTTAAGTAAGTTCCTTTCATATTGTCTGATAAGCTTAATAACATTATCATTGAAAGACGAAAGAAAATCACCATATTGATACATGTTTAAATCCAATCCAAGCTTTCGGATTACATAAGCCATTATCAAAGATGACAATTACTTTTCAATATATCAACCAATACACGGACGAAACAATAATGATAGTCTGTTTTTGTTGCATGACAAATTTCAAAGCAACGTCTAACTCGTGTATACGAGACACGGAAGTGAAAATCGCGTCGTAGCTCGTGACGTCAAACATGACCACGCGAGAGTGAAAACGAGAAGTATGAGAATCCGTTGGTATAAACCAATGGCTTCTGTTATCAATTATAGGCATTTAAAAATATTTGTGGAGATTTCGTAGTTTATTTTTTTTTCAGGTTATATATATATATATATATATATATATATATATATATATATATAGTTCGACAATTATTTAATATATATATTCTGTTTATATGTTATTTTAAGATACAATTTATTTAACTAAATGCTCTATTTTTTTTAATTAAACACTGTTAATTACACATAGCGGTTTGATTATTCATTTTAAAGATAATTTTATCTAACTATAAAGTTAAAAACGTTAGCGTTATGTACTGTACGGTTTAAATTTTACGTCTGAAACCACATGGAGGTAACTATACCTTTTTTTAAAGTGAATTTTAAACCGTGCAGTACATAAGCATTTAGCGTAACTTAGCGTTTTTGACTTCACAATTAAAAAAATTAACTTTCAGCTGAATACAACAATTGTGTCTTAAAAAAACAACACCTTGATGATGACATTTTGCTAATGTAGAAAGTACTCGGAATAAATGAATATGTATAGACATGGTAATTTTCCTTTAATAAGGGTACTAAAAAGCTTGAACATGAATATGAGAGAATCATATTGAAGTAAGTAGACAAAACTTGTTTAAATTATTCAATGAGGCCTATATATATATATATATATATATATATATATATATATATATATATATATATATATATATATATATATGTCTCTCTATCTATATATACGTGTGTGCGCATGTGTAAATAGTTATATATATATACAAGAATAGTGCACTTAAAATAAGAAATAATCTCATTCATCAGTTGATAACACCCATACTATATAATATATAAACACATACATACAGCCATATATATATATATATATATATATATATATATATATATATATATATGTGCTCGCGCGCACGCGTGTGTGTGTGTGTGTGGGTGTGTGCGTATGTGTTTGTGTACTCAAAATATATCGTGGAAACTAAGTCCAAAATGCAATTTGTTCGATTATATCCACCGATCGTTGTCAGTGTCGACAGCCTAGCAATTCGATTTGTTACTTATCTATCCTCTTCTTACAGAAAAGAAAGAAAAAAAAAAAAGGACGAAAGAAACTTCCGTTCAATCATCAAATTAAGCGACGGCGATATTTGTTTCCTGATTAGATTCCGAAAAGCTCTAAACGCCAACGTTCCTATTTTGGTTTTGTTTTCTTTCATACTATTTGGACTTGGCAAAAATCGAACCGATGGTTTAAAAATGCTCTTACATCAGGCAAGGCTACGGCTGGTGTTGATACCTGCACTTGAATAAGTTTTACTGTTTTTCAAGATAAAAGAAAAAAAAAAAAAGAATCCATCGCACGTTAGCTGAGCGAAAGAAATACTAGTTATCATATCTTATCTTTATTGCATTTGGAGTTTCCAGGATACACTTTGTCTACACACACACACACACACACACACACACACACACACACATATATATATATATATATATATATATATATATATATATATATATATATATATATATATATAATTGATTGTATATGTTTTTATATATTATATACGTATGTGTGTTATCAACATATAGCTGCACTCGTAGAATATAATGCTTTACGATAACTTCCCTGTATGTAATTACGTCTGAAAAGTCAGGTGACTTGTTTGTTAGAAAACTTTGACGACAATGACGCAATAGTTCATGGGAATTCAAAGTAAAAATACTCTACAAGAATTTTCAGCATCTGCAAAGTTGCAGAATAAGATTCACCCTTACTCTAAGGTCCTTCATAAAACGGAAGGTCATAATAATCGAAGGGGTTTGAATTGTTCTCAATTTGCAATAATCTGAAGGTGGTCGTAGCGAGATTAATATATATGTTGGTTTTGGAAAAGAGTCGAAAAAATTTCTTAATAAATGAATAGGTTCATCTATCGCCCGGTTAAAACCCTCCCCTGACAAGAGTAGATGTTTATCCCTTGTTTTAGGATTGTGTTCTGTCGGAAACCTTCCACCCCTCTTGAAGATGAACTTGTCTACAAACAAAGACATTAAATAGTGGCATGTCAAAAGACAGACAGAGTCAGAGAAGTTCTTGGCTGAGCTAGTTATAGACTACTCAGGCGATTTCTGTACCTACTTACCAACCGAATAAACCCCTTTTTATTGTTACGTGTTATTTGGCGTTTGTCTTTATTTACCCCAAATCTTTTCTTTCTTATTATTTCCCAGTAGCCCTTGCATTTTAGAGGCATTATTACCTCGCTTAGGGCGAATTGATTATAATAAATAAATAAGTACCTTCCAGGGTATTAGTTATCTAATCGAGGTATCATATTATAATATGTATTCTTTCATTCCTTAGCGCGTACGTTACGTTTTACCGATACCTCAGAAACAAAGGACTATTTTGTTGTGTACACTTTGAGAGAAAGAAAGAAAGAAAGAAAGAAAGAAAGAAAGAAAGAAAGAAAAGAAGTGGAGATAGAGAAAATTATAACTCTCTCATGCGTTTAACATCCATTTCAGTGAAGTTGAAAACCTTGTCGATTTTGAATCTTACTTCTTTAAATAATGATTTGTATTCGTAGTAATCATTTCTATTGCAGTATTTTACTAAAATTTTAAAGCTCGGATATTTAACGATGCAATAAAGAAATTTCACGGGTATTTTATAGCCATCGAAATCTCAAAGAGCACATTCTATTATTAAATTAGGAATTATGATTCAGTAAATTCAAATAAAAAAAAAATCCAGAAAATTTCCATGGCTAATGCTCATTGTAAAGAATTAATGAGATTTACTTGTAAACCAGTGCGTCTCCGTATGAAATCTTAAAGGTGTTTTACGAAAATATCCAATACATTTCGGACGATTAAATCACATCTTCACATAGTTGTAGAGGTTAATACAATGTTTCAGCCAGTCCATTCTCCAACAACCCTCTGGAGTAATCCACGAGAATCATGGTAATCTTCGTTCGATTGAAATGTTTTTATCTACGACAATTATACAAAGAAGAGATTCACATGTTCGAACAATGTCTCGATACCACCAAATTTTGCACTTTGCAAACAGATCAGCCTTTGAGATCTTGTGTTCGAATATACATCTACAGATCGATCAAATGGGTGTCCTGCAGCTTATAAGTTAGTCAATATATGTCATATATATATCATTCGGAAATTAAGTGTGCGTATTTCAAACAATACTTTTCCATAATCAAGAAAATGGGTATTTTTTTTTAAATTTTCAACAGTATCACCAATGAGTTGATTAAAATAAGTATTTAATTTTTTTGAATAAATTTAACTTAACATTTTCAAAAGTTGGGTCGCTGTGTCAACCAGAAGGTTTTTCTCGTCTGAGTCCATCTTACATATCTACAAATCTACTATTCGTCCCTGCTGCCATTCGTACTGTTGCCATATCTGTTCTGGTGACCCAGCTGTTCGTTTTGAGGTTCTCGACATAATCCAAAGAAGGATATGTAATGCAATCGATCCTGATCTGACATCTCACTTTCTCACAGGCGTGATGTGGCTTCCCTCTGTCTTTTCTACAAATGTTTTCATAACAACTGTTTTGTCGAACTTTTTTCCCTGCTGCCCCGACTGCATAAATTTAAACGTGCTAATAGACTGGCCCACCCTTTTACCGTTGAAATAGTTAAATGTAACCGTCACTTCTACCCCGACAGCTTCTTTCCATGCCTGTTTATGCTTCCCTGATAACTAAAATCTTCAAAAATTTAAATCGCCATTTTGAATTTCGTTCATCTTTTATCATTTCCCCTATACACAGTCTTTTCTCTCATTATTACTCTATGCAACCCTCTGCAAACCAGTGGCACTCCTGCTTTGCTTGGAATGAAATGCTAAAAAAAAAAAAATAAATAAATCGAGGCGCTTACCAAGAAAAACATTTTTAGCTAGAGTGAGATAATTTAAAAATTTCATAACAACATTTTACACGCGAATGTGCAGAAGTTAAAATACAGAGAAGCATGTTCCGGATTCACATACGAATTATTTTCTTTTAATGCTATGTCCCTTCAGAATATAGGTGAAACCGACAGTTACCATGAGGTGTTGATTCCCATGTCTACACTGTCTATATGTATAATCACTCTATTTCCAACATTAAACACTGACTCTTATATTTATGACTTCCAAAGATTTTTCTTTCGTATCTGTTGTCATGACTTCTTGGGGAAAATAGTGGAGTGGTTTATCTTTGCCTTTTCAATCCAGTTTTCTCCTTTTCCTATTATGACTTTCACTCAAGGTTTGAGAGCCCAGTCTATCCTGCTATTTAACTTGTAGTTTGGTTGATTGATTGGTTATTTTACGGCTTATCAACCTTTTTAGATTGTAAGATTTTTTTGGTGATAATAATGATTTAGTGATATAAATCTCACTAATTAATCCATAGCTGGGGATAGAAAAAGTGTATTCGTACCTTAGCCAAGGGTACTTGCGCAAAACCTAATATAACGAAACCGACTGGAATTGGAAATTTGCTTTCCAATATCGAGCCGTTATCCATTACGCCCCATGCACAGCCAAACTTACATCATCTGGCATTCTTAAGTGATTACCCATCTAGGTGCTGACCAGGCACGATGTTGCTTAAATTCGGCGGTCGTATGAGAACCGGTATTTCAATGTGATATGGCCGTAAGCCAGTTTGTAGATCGGAGTGGAGAGATTAATTTCTGCCTTTCCAAAAGCATTAGGGCTTAAGATTAGATCGGAATTTGAACTTAGTAATTAATCCAAAATCCATTTTAATAATACGAGGGCTGATCAATAAGTATCGGACGGTGCTATAAAAATAAAGCTACAAAACACATCAATTCCGCACTTAATCTCCTACTAATCTCCTTCTGAAGACACACACTTTATCCAAATTCGTTTCCCTTGATAGAAGCATCTCTCGACCTCCTTTTTCTGGTGTGTGTGTGTGGTGGGGGGTAGCGTTATATTCTCTTCGATGTTCTCGACGTCTTGGAATCTTGTTCCCTTCAAGTGGGACTTTATTTTTGAAGCGGGAAATTATCGCAAGAGTGGGGCTAGATCTGGGGAATATGGTGGTTATCGGTCCTGGGAAATATTGTGTTTGGCCAAAATACCTGCACAAGACATGGTCACTGATGGGAATTCTGCGGTCACACTCTGCACACTTTCCTTCCAAGTACTGCTATAAACCACGAAGGCGAGCGAGAACGTTATAACTTCGTGTGCAGGCGCGATCTCTTCCGTAGTCAATCTGTGTCAAACGGCTTCAATCTGTGTACTTTTAACCCCGTTACGATAGCAACAGTCCCGATAGATTTTATTTAGAACCTCGTATATTAGAAATAAGTTATATTTTCAGTTTGGTCGACTTAGTTTTAAATAAACACAATAAAAAATACATTACACAATTCAATTCACAAGCTAAAATTCTAAATCTAAATCCCTTGATATTATCTTTCATTATTGATTCTAAGTTTTCTGCTAGACCTGAAAATTCCGTATTTGTGTGTAACGATTTCTTTCCTGTTGTTCGATAGCTAAAATCGCATAAAAATTGCTGCTTGCCCCACCTCGAAATGTTTATTTTGAAACAGAAAGACAGAAAGTTATCTAGATAGTAAGTGACCTGTATTTAAGAAGCTACACAAACGGTGGTAACCTCGGCATACTGTTACCTCGGACCACGGTCGTAATTAACGTGGAGTAAAGCACTTGTACATACTAATGGTTCCTAAAATTACCCAGTTTTCTGTGCCTGTCTTTCTGAGATTTCGCTGGCATCGGAGACTGATTCTGACCCGAGGAGCAAATTAAGAGCAAATGGGCAGTGAAACCTGGAGGGATGAACCTCTTGACCTGTACTTTGACTAAATTGTGCATCAGGTCCAATAAACAGGACAAAGGATCGATGCCTTCTGTAAACATCTTTACATATTTACATTTGTAAATATTAATGACTACAACCAAAAGATTTATTACCTCCCTTGATAAATTTGAACAGTTTAATATCCCTCGATGCTAAGGCTTTGCAGTAGGCCTGATTTTTATCAATCGAGCGCTGACTACAGTCTAAAGGAATAGACGTTGTACAGGGTTGACTTGAAGCCATTGATTTGCGAAGGAAGAGAAGAGAGGGTTGGGTGGACAGGAGTTGACCGATGGCCAAAGTGGTTCTTGTGGGACAGAGATGCCACTCGGGTGCAGGGAACCATAAAGGGAATTGGCAGAGCGAAGCAAACAATCGATGACCTATCTGCAATCAGCACAAGAGTCTTGAAAATGATTTCGATTAACAATAAATTATGGAGTCTAAGTCGCCAAAGAGAATTATGTGTGGAACTTATAGGAAATTTCCAGAATTCTTTGTACATATATCGACACAGGGCCGCATCTATCTATCCTTAAGGCAAATGTTATTAAAGACAACAGATATTTTGTAACGAGTAATTTTACTGACTGACTTTTCCAAATTATAAATGACCCTTCTCAAGCAAGAAGGAAATTTCATCGGAATTTGTCCGAAGTTCATTTCGGTCCAAGCTCATACAATAAAAAAAAACAACTATCTATAAATAAGTCAATTATAATTTAAAATCCCGCATCCACAAATTTATATAAACACACACGCATGCACACGCCTTGCCTACATAACAACATCATGACCCTCACCAGTTCTACGAAACTCGCCATTTTTCTCTACCTACCCTGATGATGATTTAAGAAAGTCGAAAACTTGAACCATATTTCTTCCCAAATGAACTCCGGACAATTGCTGACGTAATTTTCTGCTTGTCTGTGAAAGATTATTCGTAATTTGGAAAAGACGACCAATAAAACTAATCGACACAAAATGTCTGTCATTTTTAATAATACTTACCTTAAAGAATATTTACTGCCTAAATACACAAAATCAATCAATCAATCAATCAATCAATTAGTCAGTCAAACAATCAATCTATCTATCTGTTTTATTCTGTTTTTTGTGTCTCTTTATACTACTCAATATATTTGTATCCTCGTAATGTAACCTATCTATCTATCTATCTATCTTGAGTTTTATCACAACTACTCAGACCGACATTCTATGGCGTTTAGTAGAGAGCGCGTGTCGGAGATAATATATATTCTAGGATTCTAGATACGAACCTGATCGAAATTCGAACTCTGTTCTCCCAGTTCTCATACCATGTCTCTATCCATTAAAACACTTGCACATAAAGAATTTTCTTCAGAAGTTCTTTCCTCCCGCGGTAGCTCTTCTAAAGTATGACATACGAAAGCCAACCTGTTTAGAAGATCAGATCTGACCACATAGCTTTGTTCTCTATATTTCTATAACCTATAGAATTACTGTCTGAGTAAATGCGAAAAGAATCAAGTGAAATTAAGATGAAATAAATGCGGGTAAATAATAATAATAATAGTAAAACTCATGTGATATACGACGATCTTGATTGACAAGCGCTTAGAGAGCAATCGCTCTGACATCCCACTTGGGGACAAGAGCAGCCATGAATGAATCCTGATAAAAGTTAATGTATTTTGAATTAAGATACCGTTGCTGATTCCTTTTGGGCCCGAATGGTTGATTAAGGCGGACTAAATCCATGCAAATAAGAACAGAAAAAAATTCTTATTATATATTCTTTATTTCGTACATGATTTCATTTAATTAAGTTTATTCATTTTTGAATAGGTAAATGTATATTTTGACTTGTAATCATCTTTTGCTAGCCTAAACAGAATGCACAAAATTTGGATGTATTTGTATTTATATCTCGCCATATTTCTTGTGCATTGTCTTTTTTCACAGAAAAAAGTTCAAATAATGTTAATTCCCTGCTCGATTTTATTTTGATAGCGAATATTTGAAGTTAAAATAATAGATAATATCATACTGTCAGTTTCATAACTAACTCGACCTCAACGCTTATATTCGGAGACAATCGCCGTAATCTTATATTTATTATTTATTTAATTTGTCATACTTGGAATCGGCTTTCCGGTTCCGCCTAAACGTCTACTTCCAGACTATTCTTCTAGCATCTCCGACTGAATTCTGAAATGTTATTCACTAATTATTTATTTCCATTTTATTTATTTTTCTCTCCTCCCTCAGTAGGAGTAAATAGGTTCGTCTATCATCCAGTTCACCCTCCTCCCCAGTCTTTTGAATTGGAGTAGCGGTTTATCTACTAATTCTTATTTAGGATTGGGTTTCCGGTTCCTTCTACAGTCCAGCAGAAAATCCTGAACTCATCAAGGCGAGAGTTAGTTGTTATTTTTCCTGCATAGCTCCAAGTACTTAGCTTCTTGCCCTTTCTTACGCTAAGACAACACCAAACAGTAACTCTACCGTGAGTGGTTCTTGGGCTTTGTATTCGGTGAGCATTTGTAAAAAAAAGAAAAAAAAACATCGTGGAAGTAGAAGAGACGAAAACACAATGGGAATAAAAATCTGGAGGAGAAAATCAGGGAAAAGCAGCAGTTTAAGTTGTCCCCTTTTGTGGTTAGACTTTATGTGTTACAAAACCCCTTGAGGATACTTGATCATTCAGGAATGAAGAAAATTCGTGAACAAATAATAATACTAATAATAATGAGAAGAAGAAGAAGAGGAAGGAGAAGAAGAGGAAGAGTAAAAGGAGGAGATAAATTTACTGTGCTTTATTTAATAATAAAATACAACATAATCTTACTACAGACTAATGCACATTAGTGTACACAAACTAAAATATGGAAGAATGCAGAATAAAGATATATTATTAGAGTTGGTCCGCAAACGCTGTCTTGGATAGCCCAAGCCGTGGAGGAGCCGTCACACAAAGATAGGCTTCTAGGAGAAAAAGCGGAAATCAAGTGTAAGTTTATTCTGTATTCTCCTTCCGCATTTTTCACAGCATGAGGCGTAAAAGACCTCCCCCACCAAAAAAAAAAAAAAAAAGAAAAATGCCGTGGACGAAAGATCGTTCTAAATGAGACCCAGTTTTATAAAAGCTCTAAAACAAAAATGCAAAGACAGGGTACGTAAAAAGGGTTCTGTGTTCAGATAGAGATTTGACTGAGAAAAACAGATAAGTATTGTACCCGAACCCACTCTTGCTTGTTCTGGCTAAATTATGACCAGAGGCCTGGGAGGAAACACTCGGGTTCCTACATAAAAGTTGGGGCAACCGGTAAATAACAGTCGAATCGGAGTCAGTCCCAAGTTTTCGACAAGGCAAGACCCCTGTCTTCGGTGACAAGACCTCCGTTTTCAGACGGAGGGTGACTCAGTCGGTCTTCTGTCTTCGAATATAGACTCGGTTGAGAAAAACTGACAAGTTGGAGTCAGGCAGTTCGCTGTCATGCGACTGACAATACCTCTGTCTTCGGGCAGAGTTTTGACTCAGACGGGGCCTCGTCTTCGGAAAAAGACTCATTTGAGAAAAAACAGTCAAATAATATACCGAGCCCGTTTTTGCGAAGGCTAGGTAAATTTTGACCAGTGGCCCGGGTGGAAACGCTCGTGTTCTCCACAGAACTAAACTTGAACTTGTGTCGCATCTCCTCTCAGTGGGGAGTAAATTCAAGTCGCATTAGAGTCAGGCAGTTCGCTGCCAGGCTCGCGACAGAGAAGAGCTTTGTCTTCGTGCAGATGGTGACAAGACCTCTGTCTTCGCG